TTAGTGCTATCCATGGGGAGAGCAGGAATTTTCAGGCAGCAGAGTGTTTCCCAGGATATTCTCTCAGTGAAATACTCAAAGGTAAGAGGAATGAATCCAGACTAAATGTTTTTTCTCTGCTGGGTCACTGATTCAGTGGGGCAGGTAGGATTTTTGTCAGGCATGCTGGTGACATACAAACAGCAGCAACAACCCACTAATGAGTGTAGTATAAGATACTATATTCCTCTGCTCCCTCAAATAGCTAGATTAACTGTGTGTTTTCATATATCCTGGAATGTGGTCAATAGAAAACCAGGGATTGCACTGATTTTTAGCAAATAACTTCAGCAACCTACACAGGAATATTATGTAGCAAGTTCTAAAGTGCTTTTCTGCTGTTTTCCATCCAAGTGATTTTTCACGGTGCATTTGGTAAGGAGTTATTAACTGCAAGCAGATTTAAGTGCTGAGGACTCCCTAGATCTAAACCGATGCTTGTCATTCAAGCGCCCCAACATGAATCGAGTACAAATGTGAATGTTCACAGCCAGTGCAGTTCATTTGGCAACAAGCATGCATTTAGCATTACACAAAACACAGCCGTCTGCCCCTTGACAGTCCTTGCTTGTCCTGGTGTTTTGAGGGAGAAGGGGGAGGACATTTATCCTTGATGATGAACTTTAAAAGTATATTTTCTTTTTAAATGTCAACCTATTCCTTTTCCATGTGTGTTTCAAAAATGTCTCTGACACTTTGGCTCAATACCCAGGTATTCCAGCTGTTATTCTAACATGGTGGAAATTAAAGTTCTGTTGACTTCACTGGATCTTTGCCAGTTTTCCTCAGAGGAAGATCTGGTTTCAGAATATTTTGTGGAGCCTAGATCTGACACATGGACTGAAGGCACTGTGGGTGCTGGGTAGTAGCTGTACTGGTGCCAGTAGCTAGAGGATTGGAGAAGGGGAATTCCACTATGTAGCAAGCGTTGTGGTTACCACCTTTGATCTCACGTGTCAATGAAATGTTCAAACTGTCTTTTACAAAGGTGGAACTGTGTCAGACTGTCCTTTTCTAACCCAGAATGATGTGCTAAAGGGTTGGGAGTGTGCTCCTGACTCCAAGTAGACTGTACAGCCTTGATCACTCTGAGGCCAGCAGAGCAAAGGTTTGAACTTTGGCCTCCCTGAATTCCCTGTTGGTGCCATAGTCTCAGGTCCCCACAGCCTGAAAGCATCTCTCTCACAGCATAGACCTAAAAAAATACCTTGGCTTAGTCTTAGTAAAATTGAAGTGCTGCTTTTTTCACACTTGGAGAGGGAGTCAGTGCCCAAAACCTTCCCTGCTTTTTCCAACTGTATCATCTCTCCTATTACAAGTTACTGTGTCTCCTTCAAAATTTTCTATCCTTTAACACCTCTAGCAGTACTACCACCAAAAAAAAAAAAATTGTGTCACCGATTGTTCCAGCAAGCACAAAGCAACAGAACTGATGTAGGTTTCATTTGCACAAGAACACCAGAACCTGGGAATATAAGTAATGAATCCATTTGTAAGGGTATCTGCTGAACTCCATCAATATGTAGTTCCCAATCCTGACTTTATTTAGTTGTCTGTGTGCATAATCCTGCTGCAGACACTGAAGTTAATGGTAAATATCCCATGGATTTCAGTATGTGCAGGTTGGGGCCCTCATATATTAAGGGCTTATCATTGCAAATTTGCTGAAAGCACCAAACCCTCACAACTCCTGTGTGCCTCATCTTCAGTCCTGCAGAGACATCATAATACCATATTTGTGATAGCAGAGTCATTCCCATGGCAACAAATGAAGTCAGAAATATTCTGACCTTGCTGTGTGATCAAACAAAACAGAGAAGCTGGGCAGCACAGACGAAAGTTCATCAGACACAAATGCCTATAAATCTAGCAAGCAGGTGAAAGAAACAGCAGATAAAGACAAAATATTTCTCCTTCTCTGAAGTTCTGTCCCCAGGCAAATGTCCCTCCACAGATTTTTCTGATGCTAGGATCTGCTATGGTTGGCCTGAGTATCATACCCTGCAGAAAGCTCCAAGGAGAGCAAACGATAGCTTGTTGATAAAGCCATTTCACATTAATTCTTTCTGGAGGATGAGCTTTGAAAAGCAATACTATTTTACGGCTCCTTCCAATAGATCTGAAAACAAGGCACTTAAATAACATTTCAATCTCATCCCATTTCTTAGAATTGCATTAATAGTCTTTGCTTTAGAGATCAGGGCTGAGTCAGAGACTTTCTCTGAATCAAATGCTGGATTGGCAAAAGAATTGGGGTAGGAACATCATGAGTGACTGACTGACAGTGTGGTCATCGTAGAAAGCCAACAATAAACCTGAGCGACCATAAGACACCTGGTCCCTGGGCTGTGGCAGGAACAGAGATGAGGCACAACTGGAAAAGCCCACTCACTGTTTCCCACCAGTTCATCAGCAGAAGGAGATAACTGGGAAGGCAGGTTTTGCAGCTTGCCTGACAATGAAAGAATAGTTTAAGACTGCAGTAGCTTTCAAAACCAATGCTAAAGCATGGACAGCTGTAAAGCAAAAGTTTTAGGTGCTTTTGGGAAGACTGGCAGTCCTTCTCATAACTGTGTCAGTGAGAGGTGGACTTCTAATTCTCAGTTTGTGAGAACATTTTTGAGACTTCCAGCCATAATAAATTATTAAAGTCAGTCACAGGATCCTACCCTTGAACAACATCAGCATTAAGTGTTATTATCTCTTAGTGGTAGAAGAAAGAGCATGGTTTGAATTGTCCCAAGGCAGAGGTATCTCTAATCTGATCTTTCACCGACAGAACTGCACCTGTTGATATGTACAAACAAACTTGTCCTTGGTTTCTGGAACCTGGAGAAGGCTTTTTCCTGAGAGATGGGACGCTACGATAGATGTATTTGTCATATTGCTGTGTATTACAAGTGCCATGGACAACTGAGAATGAGAAATGTTCAGTGAAAACAGAAGCTGTCAGTGACATTCCATTGGTTTATACTGGTAACACCAAGGAGTGGCTGTTTCATATCATTACAGAGCCAAGCCCAGAAAGCTCTGACTGAGAGTTGTGGCTGCTGCCCTTACACACAATGGTTTTAGCGTTGACTGTAAACACAGAAGCCCTTGAAATCCAGGGGAGGTGAAGGATTTCAGGTCTGGACTCCGGGACCAGAGAAGGGAAAATCCTTTTAATACAACTGCTTAGTCCTGGTACTTTGGCTCATGTTTGAGAATAGGTCACAGTAAGAGCAGATGAATCCTGTGATGCAGCCAGCTTGGTGAAGCTTTGATTTGAAGGGTAAATGCTAGCTATAGCCAGGGAAGTTGCCCAAGGGTGCTTTAAGTCAGAGTCCCACTTACAGCCTGACATTTACTCATTGCCCACTAACTACTGAGAGTTCCAGTGTTCAAGGACTTGAGCTTTTGCTGGCCTCAGCAAGCACGTTACAGCTCAGATACTGCAAGCCAGAAATGACAGAGCGAGCAGCTGTTGCTCTGCTGCCTCTACATCTGCCTGGCACAACAATTAAATCTCATCAGCCATTTGGCTTAATGGAAGCAAACCAGCTAAAACAGAAGAAGGATTTCACAGCACAACTCTCTCATCATCTGTAGCTGCAGCTAGCTATATATTTACCTTCATAATTAATTCTGTAAGCACAGAGCTGCAAGAGACTGAAATTTAGAAAGCAGTGGAAGAGAGAGACCCTAAAAAATGGAAAAGGGTAATAACTTTACCATCATTCTGCTCCTTATCTTCTCTGCTGATGTTTCCCATGGACTATTCGTGGTGGTGCTGTACTGGGACAAAGGCATTGCCTTGAGGTCAAGCATCCAGCAGAGGCCAGAAGCCCTAATTTTGCTGCAGCACTGGCATCGCCTGTGCCTTGAACACGACAAATTAACTTCCTCTCATGGAAAACGTGGGTCCCACTTCAGTGGATGTTCTGCATTGATTTTTGTGATGTAGGTTGGTACTTAGTGCTGCAGCAGCGTGAAGCATTAATTCTATGTTTAGAGTATAGATCCATGTTTGATGAAATTAACGGATTATTGAGCCCTCTTTTTCAGGACTCCCTTACAGAAAGTTGATTCGGCCTGTTTTTTTGTGAAACACACATAGTTCAGCTTATTGGCAGGAGATACTCAGGAATCCTGCCAGTGGAAATCTCACTTCTTAATTAATCTTTCCTGAATCCTGTAGCCCTGAATATGTTCTCTCCTGTTTGTGCTAATCCATATTAAATTCATGAGGTTAACTGAGCTACTCTAGATTTGCACAACCATAAAGAAAAGTGCAATGTGACTTTTTTGTGTGTCTCTTCTGTGACTGCTCAGCAATACATATGATTTTAACGTCCTCTTTGCGGTCAGTGTTGTTTTTACTCTCATTCTCCTGCATCACATGAAAGTTTAAGATGTGCAATGTAAAGTATAAGAGGTATTGAGGCAAGCTGCACTGCAAGGCCTTTTTTTCTGGCTGTCAGCCTCATGGACCCCAAAGTCAGGATCCGAAGAGAACATTGCAGCTGGGGAGATGACTGTGAGCTGGCTGAGCTGCAAACTAAGCTCCGTTCTGCTGATGGAGAGCAGAAGGCTGACTCCTCTCTTCCAGGCATCAGCACTCATTTTACTGTGAGGAGGCCAGTCGGCAGATTTGGCATGAGCATATGTAACCAGCACTTTGTAATTGGAAAATGGACTTGGAGGCAATTATTTTTTTCTACTAGAAAGTCAGCAATGTTTTCCTTTTAGAGAACAACAGTCTGCAGCAGTGAATTCTTGTAGAGAGTGAGATACTCTCCTAAAAGAAATTGTTTAAGCACCAGCTTCAGTCAGCTGCAGCTTACCAAGCACCCAGGCCGGTTCCTAGGGCGAGGACAACATGGGTTGTTCTGCCCCTCTGCCTGGCAGTTTGATGTATGTGAAATTCACCTCCCCAGGTCTTTATTTTTCTGAGTTGCTCTTCGGCTTGTGTCTTTCAGAAGCGCTCTGGAGGCGTGTGCTCATTCCTGCGTCGAGTGTGCTGGGCAGCACTACCGTTGCAGCTCCTCCTCTTGCTCCTCCTGCTCCTGGCCTTCCTCCTGCCCCTGGCAGAGGAGACCCACGGCTGCACACTGGCCAACAACTTTGCTCGGTCCTTCAACTTGATGCTGAGATACGAGGGCCCACCTCCAATCTAACTTCTTGGCATGGCACGAGGTGACTGTTGGAAATACAGACTCTTTGTTTTTAGCAATTGCAAATATTGTAGATTTTAGGGCTTCTAACAAGGCCATTATATCAACTGGATAGATCACATAAATGCAGCATAAGATTAATCCACTTTAATCAGGTATTTGAGCAAAATTAATATTTTTACAATATTTTATTATATTTATAATGTATATATAGAGATTGTGTATGTATGTATGTACATATATGTATATGAAAATGCATATCTGTGGTCAAACTAACATCCACCATCCATCATCCACTCATACAATGTTTCTGTTTCTGCCATCTTTCAGCAAGGAGTACTGAATGATGGTTTTGTTGGGGTTTTTTGGGGGTGATTTTTAAAATCCAATTTTTGTTTACAACCGAAGTCAGAGCAAGTATGAGATGTGGGCATGCACCAAGTGCGAACTGGAGAGCAGGCACAGTAGAATCATGTTTAAACACAGTGGTTGACATTCAGCCCAAGGAAAATTTGGACTATTCTATTTGAAATCTGGAGCTGTATTTTCAGTATCTGGATGCAGTGATTGCAGGAGGTAATGGAAATGTTTCTACTGACTTCAGTAAGAGTGGGGGTGGGCCTCTTGTTCTCATTTTTTACCAGATTTCTTTTCCAATTACTGTGTTCTCCAGCCCACCTGAATCAGGAGAGAATACACTAGCAAGAAAGCTGGGAAAAAAAGAATATATGTTTTTTAGCATCTCTGTAGCAAGAGCACTTTTAAAATCAGGTCATAATTTTCTGAACAAATTTGTGAGCACTGAACAAAACATTGTGTCAGTGATCTTGTCTATAAAAAGCAGTGGGATTTTTTTTGTTGTTTGTGGGGTTTTGTGGTTTGATTTGTCAGGATTTTTTTACTTCATAAAGAAGCATTTGGTAATGGATCATAAAGCCTGAACAGTGGGATGCAGCCTGGCTCAGTGTGAGCAAAGCAAAAGTTGGAAGTACTTTAAGAATACCACCATGGAAACATGAGTCCTTCCTAAGATGTTTTTATATTAATGGTTTGTTAAACTGACGTAAACTGATTGCATCAAAGACAGTCAAGCCTAGATTTCTATGTAGTCTAAACTGTAAGATGATGACAACTTGTCATTTACGTACCTAAGCTCATGCCTGATTTATCAAATTTTTGAATGTACATTTTAACATTGCCTTTTAATGTAAAAATAATTCTCACTTCACTGTGATGAAACCATTATTAGTGGTGTTTTACCTAATTGACTCCTGAGAGAAAAGGTAATTTCTAAAATTTTGTGCCATTTCTGAGAACTATCCCTTATTGTCTCATGTTTTTAGCCACAGTAGTAATCATACAAAAAGAAAAATAAAATTAACAGAAGAAACAGTTACTTTTCCCATCCTGGCTATGTTGCAGGAGGAACTTGTCTTCTGGGTACCAGAATGACATATTCAGTGTTGTTTTCCAAACAAGTTGCAAAACAATATTAGATCTCTTGTGCAGGTAAATTATGTAGTAGCTGAGAGACTGAATGAGGAAGTCATGCTACTTTAACAAAACTGTGAAAGTTTTGCTAAAGAAGAAAACTTGGGTAGAATAGGGAGACATAGCAGCAAGGAGCTCATTATAGGCACAGAAGAGAAGAGAACAGGCAGATGTGAAAGAGGACTAGCTAAACATAGAGAAGAGAGGTGTCCAACAATTTATGAAGCCTAAAAAAAGAAATCACGGTGAATATGGAGCACAAGAATACAGGCTCTATGGAGGAAAAAGCTCTGAATCTTTTTGGTTCCCTCTCCCTGCTGCAGTATTGGTATTGCATATGAAACAGCTTTTATTCACTGAGGTTTAAAATGGGGCAAGTAACAGGGACTCTACCAATGTTCTGATGAGACTCTTCCACTGCTAGGACTCTGTCAATGTATTCCTAATACTGCTTCCAACTACAGTGGATTTGCTAGAGTTGGATAAAAATGCCAAAATTCTGCTAAAAGTGAAAATGAGAGTGAAAATTAGAGGAGAGAGAGAAGGGGATGGTGAAGGAATTCAGGTGGAGCGCAAGGGGAGCATGAGGCAGAGCTGAAATGATGTGGATTAAAACCTGACTGCCAGGAGGTCGCAGAAGAGCTCTAGAGAGCATGCAGCGCGGGGCTGAAAGCAGAAAGGTGAGGAGAGGATGTACGCTGAGCGATAAGACATTCACATCTGAACAGAGAGCAGAGGGACGCCTGTGATTTCTTTCATGAAGGAGCCAGATGGAGAGGAGCTATAATTTGCCAGAGAATGGGGAAAATTAATTCCTTCTTTGCAACGGTTCGTTCTGGTGGCAGAGGACATACCTCCTTCTCTCCTCTGATTAGCTGTGCAAGTGCCATGTACATACCCATAATGTTCCTGTAAAAATTGCTGCCAGCCCTGAGGGAAGAAACCCCTGTGGCTGCGCAGCAAGGAGCTAATCATCACACACATCTCCATTTCAGATTAAACGCTCCAGTAGAAACGAGGCGTGGGGGAAGTGGGGCAGTAACAAAACCTGCAGTATGTGGTGGTGGGTACGTGTACTTGTGCACACACTATTCTGTGGTGTAGCTACATTGGACTTCTCTGGGTTTTGCTGAGCTGTTCCAGGTGATGAAAGTAAAATGCCAGTGAGAAAGTAAAAATAATGAGGAATAATGTAGCTGTAAGTGAAAATCATTAGGGAGGTAGACAGGTTTTCTCTATGAAAGCACAAAATTTCACGTCAGATTTCTTTCTGCCCAGCCTTTCTGATCTGGATGATTTTTATGGGTTCACAAATGCATTTGACACCACAGGAGTATGAAACTAGGGGGGAAAATTTCTGCACAGAGGACCGTAACAGAACAACTTCATCATCACCTTGCTGTTTCAGTGTTGTGGCAGGTCTGAAAAAAAACCCAATCTAAATTAGAAACACACTTTTGCTGCTGGGTTTGCATTCAATTTATTCTGTAAGTCCCCTGTCTCTAATCTTGGAATTTTTTGCTTTAAATCTCAGCAAATCCATTCTCGTTAACTTTAGTAATCTAAATATCTCACATACATAATGAATCTTTCTACTGCTGTGCAATGGAAACTGTCCAAAGCACAGGACTTTGATGTTCATCTCACGTAAAACAATTGAAGTCTTCCATAATGTCACTGACCTCACCCGTCTAATGCAGGTGTGAGATTTTTCTAAGAAAGAATTTAAAAAAAAAGTCACAAAAGTAAGCTTGAAACATAATTCCCATATTTACTTTCTTTTTTATTCTCTTGGTTTTTTTGAAAAGTTTGTGACACAGATTCCTTGAAGTGTGTGTAACTACTAATCAAGTCAGCAACTGGAATAATGAAAACAAACTGCCCAGTTCAACTTCCCAGTTCAGATTCCTTAAAACGCAAACTAAATCATGCCCTTTCCAAATCAGTCCTTAAGATCTTGAACATTGTTCTTCATGCCTGAATCTTTGCTCAAGCATGATTTGGGGGTTACCCCCTCACTTTTGTGCCTATGAAATCCCCAGCTCATAGAGCTCTGACGTCCAAATGTAACTGAGATGTGTTACAGCTCATCTTCAGATCGGGGCCGCTGCCTTGAGACATCCCTTAGGATGACATCCCCCAAAACCTAGGATGTACAAAACAGATAAGCGTCCACAGCCGTGGGCTTGCACTACTTTAATCCAGATCCAACCACTGTCAAAGGGTGCTGAAACCCTCTAAAATGGATTGAATACATTTGATCTCGTAAATTGTTCGTGCATCTGGGTCAGGTCACGTAGCCTATACTGCATGCAGGTACCCAGCCTGTTCACAGAGCCGAGCTCTTGCGCGCCTCTCCAAGCTCTTTTGCCTGCACTATAGGACCCAGTGTTTGATTGACGACATTAATAGCCCTTCGGTGTTGAAGGCAGAATCCTGCACTCCAGTGCCAGTGCATTAAAGTAAGAATTCTGCACAGTCCCAAAGGCACACTTCAAACCCAACCTTTGGAGTGAAAGCAAGCAAATTTATAAATCGTAATCGATTTTGTAGCCAGATGCCTTCAAGAGAATTTTCCATGACTGCAATACAGTGAGGTAGAAAATTGCTATTGTGCCACATGTGTATTGATAGCCCTTTCTCTGATTCCAGCTAGCAATTTAGCTTGTATTAAATATTATTTATATCTGCCCTCTCTAGAAATCTATGTATGAAAAACATGTTCAGTTCTATGCACGCACAGTAAAAACATTGTATTCCCCTATTAGCACAGAATCTCCACAGCAATCACGATTTCTACCAAGTACTAGCTTATTTGCCCTGACTGAGATACTTACGAAACTCAGACATTTGGGGATGAAAAGAAAGCTAGTAGCCTAACTAAAAAAACCACCTAACGATCGCTGAATAATTTGGAGACCTTTTAGAATGGCTTTGCGCTTCTCTTTAATCATTTTCGTTGGGATAGTTGAAGACCACAGAGAGCAAATGTCTCCAAAATATGGCCATCACTAGATAGATGGCAATCTCTGCACGTTGGAAGAAATAGTATGTTCCCTGCAGTTGTGTTAGGACCTCAGGAGCTTGCTCCGTCTGATCTCCTCTTCAGTATTAAACAGGAAATGTTTTACTTTGATGTGTGTGCGTACATGTCTCATTAGCACTAAAGAGTGAGTTCATATACAGAAATTCTTTTAATTTGTGTCAACAAGAGAGTACGTTGTCTTCCTTTCTGCAGAAAAAAAAAAATTTGCTATATGGCAGGGATTCCCAGAGCAAACCAAACCTTTTGGAATAACTGAAGATTACAGACTGAAATTAAATTATCCACCCTAGTAAACTGGAAAAATAGTTTTGCCTGTCAAGAAATGCTGGTATAAATACCCCAATAAACGTATCTTTGCCAGGCATCATAGGTGTTTTTCAGGCCATAGGTTGTGTACCCAGCTGGCTGTACAAACTGCTTTTGGAGACTTTACTAGCTGTTGGACAGTATCAGTTGCTAGTCAGCA